CTACTGCAGGTGGGCAAGGGCAGCATGGAGGTGACCCACGTGCTATGCCTTGTCAGGGCTGCCACCTCGTGCCAGATGCTGGTGAGTGGGGCCCACTGGGGGGGCAGGGCTGCATGAGGGGAAGAGAGGCCTGCACTGGGGAAGAGAGGCCTGCACTGGGGATGGGCAAGGCTGCACGGTGTAGGGGCAGGGCTGCATTGGGGAGGTTATTTAGATACGCACCTTCTCCCCTTCCCCCTCCTCCTCCCCTCCCCGCCGCCACCCATGTGCATCGGCACCACTGGTGTTCTGCAACGCCTCAACCCCCTCTTTCCCGATGTGTTATTGCATGGTGTGTGGTGTGGTGTGGTGCTGTGTTGTGTGGTGCGGTGTTGTGTGGTGTGGTGTTGTGTGGTGGCCTACCTTTCGAGCAGATGTAGAATGCTCGCAAAGAGGCCTTTCGGATGTGATGCATCCATCCATGTGAGGAGCATCACATGGATGGATGCATCCATGCAATGGTCAGTCCATCACGGATGGACAGAGCAATGGTCTTGAACCTCATCACGTGCTTTCCTCTCCTTCGTCAACCTGCAACACCATGCGATGCCATGCCATTCCATCGCATGCCAACTGCACCCAAATCACCCACACTCCTCTCAACTGCTCTCCTCTCAACCGCACCCATCTCAACCGCTCCTGGCAGCGTTCCTCAAGGTTTACAGCCAAGTGCCGGACGGCGTACTGGTGATCGGCGAGTTCAAGAAGGTGCGTCACCTGATGCATCACCTGATGCCACTACGTAGTAGTATCTCCTATTCTGACCCTCTTCCATAATTTTTAACCTTTGAGTACGTCTCATATTCACATCCCATCCGATTGCACACAGCCCATTCAACATCCCTTCACACGTCAAAGATCCCTACATGTATGCCGACTTTTGAGGCGCCGTAAAAGTTGTCTCTCTATCCGCAATCCCATAACGTACATACAGCACATTCAACATCCCTTTAGAGCTTAGAACTCTCTACACCTATCCCATCGCCACGTTCCTATTCTTCCCTCCTCTCCCCCCTCCAGCAGCCCATCGCAGACCCCATCTTCTTGCATGCTCTCCCCCATGAGCCTCCCATCCCTGCCGCCACAGTCCCTTCGCCCCTGTCAAATGCTTCAACCGTGCCCCCTTCCCTTAATCCATACCCTCTTCCCTTTCCCCCACCTACCCCCCTTCCCCTCCCCCATCCCTTCAGCAACCCATAACGGATTCTGTCTTCTTCCACATGCTCTCCCCCATGGACCTCCCGTTCCTGCTGCCCCCACCACCGGGCAAGCAAAAGGGAAAGGCCAAGCCCGCGAAGGTGGTGCCACGAGAAACATGCCTCGCGTCTCCCGCCTTCCGGGTGAGGGATTGCCACCCAGATGACAAATTGCCGCCCACATGACAGATTGCCGTCCAGATGACAGATTGCCACCCAGATGACAGATTGCCACCCAGATGACAGATTGCCACCCAGATAAGAGATTGCCGTCCAGATGAGAGATTGCCGTCCAGATGAGAGATTGCCGTCCAGATGAGAGATTGCCGTCCAGATGAGAGATTGCCGTCCAGATGAGAGATTGCCGTCCAGATGAGAGATTGCCGTCCAGATGAGAGATTGCCGTACAGATGAGAGATTGCCGTCCAGATGAGAGATTGCCGTCCAGATGACAGATTGCCGTCCAGATGACAGATTGCCGTCCAGATGAGAGATTGTCGTCCAGATGACAGATTGCCACCCAGATGAGAGATTGCTGTCCTGATGACAGATTGCCGCCCATATTTGAGATTGCTGTCAAGATGAGAGATTGCTGTCGAGATGAAAGATAATTGTTCACGTGCAGAATGGCCATGTGGGTAAAAGAGAGATTGCTTTTCATTGGATTGCCATCCCTCTCCATTTCCCCTCCCTTTCCCCTCACACCTTCTCGTTGTTTCCACACCCACGTTCCCTCGCTCCCTCTCCCATTCCCCCAGCCCCCTGAGCCGCTGATAGCAGCAGCGCGCCACATAGTGCAGCACCATCTGCTCAATGGCCAGTTTCTGGCGGTGCAAATCAGGAGGGGCGACTTTAAAGACTACTGTCGGAAGAAGGTATGACTTGACCCCATCCCATCCCCATCCCATCCCATCCCACCCCACCCCATCCCACCCCATCCTATCCCATCCTATCCCATCCCATCCCATCCCATCCCATCCCATCCCATCCCATCTCTGGCATTCCTTGCTCTGGTCAATCTGTCTCTTTCTCCCGCCCATCCCACCAGCACCCATCGGACAGCTGTTTCCTGCCAGTGGACCAGGCAGCACAGTGCATGCGTGCTGCAGCTGTCGCAGCACGTGTCCCTCTCGTCTTCCTCGCCACCAATGCGTGGCCACACGAGGTAGCAGCCATTGCTGCTACGCTTCTTGAGGCGCCTCAGGAACAGCCACTAGAGGTCGCAGCTATGGCTGATACTACTGCTGCTGCTGGTGGTGGTGGTGCTGCTGCTGCTACAGCTGCTGCAGCAGAGGAGCAGGAACAGCCATCTACAGAGGCACTAAAGAGAAGACTGTTGAGTCGATTTGCAGCTGAGGACCACCAGAGCAGAGGCCAGCAAGAGGCGATGCCACTGCCAGCCAAAGCACCGCGCTCACTGCAGGCGGTTGCCCGGCCACCTGGGCCCGATTCTCAGCCGTTGGATCGACAATCTCAGCGGTCGACGCCCGTGATCGCCCGGCGCATGCTGCCTGGTCTTTCAAGTGGAGTCGAGGCTTCACTGCATGATGAGCAGCCTGCCAACGTCAGCAGCGGCCCTGACGACGCTTTAGATGGCAGCAGCAGTGCAGTGCAGCTTGTAATGCTAGCGGTTTGCTCTCTAAAGAGGACAGCAGCACGTGGCTTCAACTGCTTATGGAAAATGTGAGTTGGCAGCAGTTAAAGTGTGCAGGTTCAAACGTTGGTTGGTTTGAGAATTCTCAAAAGGCGCTCAACTTGAACAGTTATACACGGTCAAAGCTGGCAAATGCTGGTGAAGGATGGTGAAGGGTTGTGAGGGGTGGTGATGGGTGGTGATGGGTGGTGATGGGTGGTGAAGGGTGGTGAAAGTTGACGAATGCTGGCTAGGGCCGGTTCAATGGAGCACGAGTTAGGTGTAATGGTGACTTTTGAGTCTGTTCGAAGGTCTCCAAGGCTTTCTGTGATCTTTCTTCTATTCACCACCTCGTCAGCTGGCATATTGGCCGCTGCTGTGCTTCCGTCAGTCAGGTCTTTCTTCCCCCTCCAACCAACCTCATTCATAACTTGCCAGTTTCCCTCCACCAGGGCGTTGGTCTCAAGACCACTCCTCAAGCCGCCGCCACACTTGGAAGCTGCACGGGAAGCAGCAGGGGAAACCGCAGTGCGCGCTGGCTGATGTGCCCTCCTCCTCCAAAGCTAGCCCCCCCTTCCCTTCAACCACCTTTCTCTCCTCCTTCCCTTCAACCACCTTTCTCTCCTCCTTCCCTTCAACCACCTTTCTCTCCTCCTTCCCTTCAACCACCTTTCTCTCCTCCTTCCCTTCAACCACCTTTCTCTCCTCCTTCCCTTCAACCACCTTTCTCTCCTCCTTCCCTTCAACCACCTTTCTCTCCTCCTTCCCTTCAACCACCTTTCTCTCCTCCTTCCCTTCAACCACCTTTCTCTCCTCCTTCCCTTCAACCACCTTTCTCTCCTCCTTCCCTTCAACCACCTTCCTCTCCTCCTTCCCTTCAACCACCTTCCCCTCCTCCTTCCCTTAAACTACCTTCCCCTCCTCCTTCCCTTCAACCACCTTCCCCTCCTCCTTCCCTTCAACCACCTTCCCCTCCTCCTTCCCTTTAATCACCTTCCCCTCCTCCTTCCCCCCAAACAGGGCATCAAAATCACGACCACCCCTCAAGCCGTGGCCACACTAGAGAACCTGGTGTGCGCGTTCGGCGCCGGGTTTTTGGGCACAGCCCACTCCACATTCACCAATGACATTGTGCGGCTGAGACACGGGTTCCGCACTGCCAGATGCAACGATGACTATATCTGTAGCGCTGGGCCGAAAGATGGGTAGGAGAAACTACTGTGGAAGCGTGGTGCTGTGGGCAGCACACCCCTGAATAGACGCACAAGTGGGTTTTCCTCCTCGGTTTATCCAAATTTCTTCCCTTCACAAAACAAAAAGAAATGAGGGCACAATGAGGCCTACCTTGGGCTTCAAGGCATGGGCTGCTCGGTTGAGTGCGTGGCGTGTATGGACATTCCTTGCTCCATGTTCAGCGCCACAGGCAGTCAGTACGAAAGGAGTGACAAACATATGGGGTGAAGGGCAGGGGGGGTGATGAGCTGTGGCGGTGCTGGGTTCATGGAAGAGAAAACAGCATGTATGGGGAAAGACTTAAGGCAAATGGTGGGTGGAACTTCAAGGAGGCAATTCCAGTGCGTTTGTCTTATGCAGGTGCATAAAAAGATGGGGGGCTTCCCAAGACTGGAGGAGCAGGCGTGTTCTTCAGTGACAAGACTGGGGTTTCCCAAGGTGTGGCAGCCCAAGACATGGTCACTGGGTGAGAGCAGTCTTTTGCTGTGATCCTGTGTGCTATGCTATCTATTTGTGCTATATATGTATGTTACACTATGTATATTGTAAAAGCGTCTACTTCCACTGAACCAAGGTTACATCAATTATGAAGCGTATTATGCTGATTTCGAAGTTGCTGTGGCATCTTAATGCATCCTCCTAACCAGCTGCAGGCTTCACACATCTGGAAAGCAGCTGCATGGCTCAGCTTGTCAGCAGTGTTTAGAAATTACCGATAGAAGGGAGTAAAAGAAACCCTGTGTGGCCTGCTTGTGCTGCCTTGAGACAACCACTTAGGCAGCTGCAGTCTTGATGCGTTTGAAGAGCAGCTTCGCCTGACACAGCTTGCCTGGATGGGTGTCATTATACTTCCCAAAAACGCCTTGTGGCACAAGCCTGCTGCCTCAACACATCCTCCTAAGAAGCTGCGGTCTTGACGCGTTTGAATTGCAGCTTCGCCTGACACAGCTTGCCAGAAGGGCCTGGGTGGACGAAGAGGGTGGACGAAGAGACATGCACAGGGTGGATTGATAGGGAGACATGACTAGGATGGTTGATGGGAGGAGGAACATGGGAAGAGAGGGGCGTGCTATGTGTGACACATGTGGCATATGTATTGCGTCCCTCTGAGGCACGTAAAAAGGGGCGAGTCACATGTTATGTGACTACTAGACCTGAATCTCCTGGAGCAAATCACACCTTGCATACCTGAGGGTCTCTTAAAGAGAGTGAGCTTGGCTTGGGGCAACGGGATGGTGCTGCTGTTGCTCTTGCTGGCAGCACCCTGTTGTGGTTGGGCCACGTCGGCTGGGGTAGGGCTTGGCTGGTGCTCTGCCAGATCAGCGGCAGCAACGTGCTGCCGCTGCTGCTGCTGCTGCTGCAGCTGCTGATGCAGGTGTGCCACGTCAGTGGAATGTATGCACTGCTCCTGTGCGGTATGAGGAACATGGAAATTGATGTAGCTGCATATGTTCCAAACATATGTTTTGGAAATGTAGGCCATGGGATTACATGCAACGATTGCTTGCATGGCATCATGGATGACGACCATGCAAACCCCATTCATGTGGCATATGGATTGAATCGCATGGACCATGCTGGCCCATGCTGCACTGCCATGTGGCATATGTATTCCGTCACATGGTCCATACTGCACTGCCATGCCACATGCCCCATCACTCCCCATGCCCCACCACCCATACTGCACAACATCATGCACCAGCATGTCATATGCTGCACGACATCATGCACCAGCATGTCAAATTCTGCACGACCAAGAATGTCACATCATAAAAAACTGCCAGATGCACTGTGTGCCATACACCACCATACACCGCATCGTATGCAATGCATGGCATGCTCTATAACTCACCTTCTGGGGGTGCCTGACAGGCAGGGAACCATCCCGTTCTGCTGCCCCACAGGTCCCTTCACATCTTGCTGCAACTTCACATCTTGCTGCATCATGTGAAACGTTGCATGGTGACTCTCGGAATGATCTACTTGAAGCCTGGTGCATCTTATTTCGCTGCTGCTCCTTTGCCTGCCACTGCCTTTGCTGCTGCGGCTGATGCTGCTGCTGCTGCTGTGGTTGATGCGGCTGCCGCTGCTGCTGGTGCTGCTGCTGCTGCTGGTGCTGCTGCTGCTGCTGCTGCTGATACTGCTGCGGCGGCTGAAGCTGGACTGGTGGGTGCTGGCATGGCACAGACTCCTCCTGTGGCTTGCTGGGTGTGGGGCAGCTGTGGGACGACCCAAACAGGTCCGTGCAGTGGGCTTCCATGCACGCCACCACCTGGTGTCGCAGGGAAGGGTGCACATTGTGAGGTGAACACAAGCAAACATACGATGGATGCGCCCTCATGCACCTGCTGCTGGATGAACCAACCAGGTCCGTGCAGTGGGCTTCCATGCATGCCACGCCACCACCTGGTGCCACAGGGGGGGGCGCACATTGTGGTGTGAACACATGATGGATGGGTGTGCCGTGGCGCACCATAGCGGCATCTTAGAAGTGATCACACGATGGCTCTGCCATGTGCACTTTGGAGCATCTCCCAAGTGAACAAGTGATCGCACCATAGATGTGCCCTGATGATGCACTGTATAGCCCCTCTCAAAATTGCAGTGCTGGGCGGATTAGCCACGATGCACTATAAGGCGCCTCAGAAGTGTGACAGGGAGGATGCTGTGCATGCATCAAGGACAGATGCCAACACAGCACATAGCATAGCACAGCCATTGTGTGTTCACTTCTGAGATGGAGAACAGACAGATGCCATTCGAACACAGCTGAGAGAACAGACGAGTGGAAACTCAAGTGAAGAAGCTGTGTTGAGCACAGCACAGTAGGCATTTGTGTGTGGAAGATGCATGTACCTGCTGAAACTCGTCCTTGCCCACACGTGTGGCTTCCAGCAACCTGTCAACGTCCATCTTCAGCTGCATGCATGCATACACATGATGGTCCGATTCATGCATGCGTGTGTGACACACATGCACATGTAAGGCACATGAGCATGTCATGCTCACGCACATGTCGAAACGCATGCCATGCACATGCACTTGCCCATGCACATGTCATGCACATGCCATACACATGCATATGCACGCGCCCATGTTATGCACATGGACTTGCAGACATTCAAGCACACATGACCATGCACATGGGTAAACGCACATACGGCAATGGTTACGCCCATAGATACACGCACACGAGAGGACTCTTATACGAATGTTCTGCATCCGCGTGGGTAGGTGGATACATAAAAGTATACAACAGCAAGAAACTCCCACCAAGCGTATGCACAACACCACATGGAAAAGCAACGACGCACTTGGTCCCACATTCTCCTACAGTTGCCTCAAAAGCAACCCATGGAGGGCGTACGTACCTGGTTGCGTGTGGCAGTGAGCATGAGCGCTGCTGCCATGAATGCCGGACGGGAGAAGTCAGTGCCGCCCCTCCGTGCCTCTGGGAGGGCGGCAGTGAAACGAGCGGTGAAGCTGCGAGGGACAGGCCACGGCGGCAGTGGGGCAAGGGGGCAGAAGGTAGAGAGCAAGGGGGGAAGGAGAAGGAAAAGGGAGCACGGGGGAGGGAACAGGGGGGAGGAGGCAGGAGGGACGGGGCAGCATGGAGGGTGCAGGGAGGAAGGGCAGGGGGGTGGGGCATGGGGAGGGGACAGGGGGAGGGGAGAGGAGGGAGGGGGCAAGTGACAATCCTTCCTTTCATCCCACAGCACTGACACGCCCACTCCCTCTCTGTGGCTCAATTTCCCTCCCCCGCTTCCCATTCCTCACATGAGCAGGACCTGTTGAGTTGACTCACATGCGCAGGTTGCGCTGAGTGGACTCCAGCACTCGCATGCACCCAAACAGAAGGGCCAACTGGGGTAGGCTCAACTGCGACCTGCACAGTCACACCACACATATTATTACCGCTTAGATGCATGTGGTGAGAGGCAAGTGATGACATGCACGTGGCAAAAACGACAGGTGAGACATGCGTAGAGAGAGACAGGCATAGGCACACAAGCATGAATTCTGTAACATGGTTCGACCCGAGATTGACCTGGTGGCATGACAAACGCTGTGGCAGTGAGCCTGTGGCTTTGGAGTCGCGCTGCTGTGGCTTGTGCTGGGTCTTGCTTTGGAGGCAGGCATGGGTCGCCTGCGTCCACGCTGCTTAACAGACTGCAGTGCGCTGTTGCCTTCAAATCCATCCGAGCAACTGTGAGAACCCGACGTATACGGTGGTCATGAATGGCTGCTCGTGCTCGGGCACCATGTTATGGGTATACGCCTGGGTGGTGGCCTTGCGCAGTGGATTTGGAGCTGCACTGCGTGTGTTGCGTTGCGGCTTTGGCATTGATGCCAGAATGGTGCTCACCTGACGCCTAGAGCGTTCTGAATGGACGCTCGCGCCCGGGCGTATGCAGGTGGAGACATGCCGCTCAGCTTGGCTGCCTTGCGCGCATCCACTGCTGTGTTGCCCATCCTGCCAAGGCCATATGGTATCGGGTCATTGGGATGCATGACAGCGCCGTGAGACCCCGTGCTGCGTTGCCAGTCAAGGCCTGGGTCCATCTCGCCGTGCATGTGAGTGAGAGGAACGAGGGGGGGGGGGGGGGGGGGGGGGGGGGGGAGGGGAGGAGGAGGTTATTACATGATTCGGAGCTTAATGGAGGTCTTGCTTGCATCTACTGCAGTGTCAGCCGGCTTGCTGGTGGATTGCGGGGCGGTGAATGGGTCATGAGTGCGTATACAGTGCAGAGAAGCGGGTAGACAATGGGTATCCTTCCAGGTTAGCTGGCTGTGCGCTCGTGCTTGGGTGGGTGGCGTGGATGATGGGGAGCAGCGGATGAGGACGGGGGAGAGGATGAGAAGGGGAGTTGGCGGGAAGAAGAGAAGTGAGGGGTGTGGCGGGGAGAGGGGAAGGTTGTATGGGGTGTTTGAGAGAAGAGGGATGTTTTTGGTGAGTGTAGGAGTGTGAGATGGAGGGAAGAGAGGGCGGAAAGGAGGGAAGAGGGAGGAGGAGGGAGGGAGGGAGGGAGGGAGGGAGGGAGGGAGGGAGGGAGGGAGGGAGGGAGGGAGGGGGAGGGAGGGAGGGAGGAAGGGAGGGAGGGAGAGAGGGATAGGGAGGGAGCGAGAGAGGGTTGGGAGAGCAGGAGGGACGGCTGCATGGAGGGAGCGAGGCTGCTGCGGAAGGTTGCGCTGCAGAGGGGAAGCTGATATGCGTACAGGTGGCAGGCGATGTCGAAGCAGATGACAGCCTTCGCTACCTCGCCCTGCGGAAGAAAGGGAGCGATAATGACGGAAGGATGAGGTAGAAAATGGGGAGTTGGGAAAGGAGGGAGTGAGGCAGATAATTTAGAAAAATAACGTGCTTTTCAATCAGCGAGCATAGGGACAATCACTCTTTTACAACGAAAACATTTGCTTTCTCAGTTGGCTCAAGCCATGTGGCTCACGCGCGCTTTGAGCCGCAAGAGCCGCGACAGCAAGAGTGTCGGCTGAGACGGACATTGTACTCTTCTATTCACTACTTTGGTAAGCGGGACGGAGAGGCAGCACACAATGACTATTCGGCAGTCCACTCAGTGGCAATTGCAGACTTCGCAAGCAGGCGGAGTAACGGCGGCTACCGCCGCGATGGGAAATAATTCTCAAGATCTTGAGCTCCTAATTTGTTCAAGAAAAAGCTGTGACAAAACGCGCTATGATTTCCTCAACATACCACGCCGAAAGTTCCGGGCTCGAATTTCAAGTTGCACATTCTTAGCAGCTCCTCAGCCCGTTTTACAGTCGGATTTTTCTTCTTGACTTTACGGCTATTTCTGGAAGAATCAAAAAGGAAAAAATCACTTGAGTTGTCAGACGGCTCAACTGGTTGAGACAGGAGCCTTGATTGGACTTCACTCATATCCATTGCTATAGAGGAGCTAACGCTGAATGTTTCTCAGGATCAATGACTCATCGATGCGGGTACACAACACCTGTAACTGATGGCGTTAGAGGAGCAGTGGGACTTGTCTCCCTCGTTGCGACCGATGATTAGGGCGTGTAACATTTGGAAACTTAGCGGTACGAACCAAGGCACAGTTAGGAACTCGGTGTGGCTACCGTTTTCGTGCGCTTCGAGAGAGACCTCGCCTTGGGTTCTGCGACGTCGCCATTGTGCGGAATCCAGTTGAAACATTTGGTCATTTGAATATTGATTTGGCGGTGCGAAGGTTCGGATTCTCTTTGTTCGGAACTCCGATGTACAGTGACCGCGCGATTCCCTAGGCGAATTGATACAGTGTCAGGTGACGACATCAAATGCTCCAAGTCCCAAAACCGTTCGTTTGCTCTGCACAACCACGCAAATGAAAGCGATAGTGGCATCGTGCGAACTGACTGAAAGACTGGCCCTACTGCAACTGTACATTTCCGAACGACGCTCGGCACCCTGGCCTTCCCGCGTTGTCAAAGTTCGCATGCACGTGTTGCAGGTGGTGTTTGTATGTAGGCGAAAATGTAGTTGTAACGCGTGCGACGCCTCAAGAATGTACAGTGCCGTTCGAAAATCCAAATTCAAAATTCGCTTCAAATGTTCCAACTTTCCAAACGGACGAGGCTGGGTCTGAACCACCGTCCGCTTGGGCCCAACCGCACGACGGTGCGGAACTGAGGGGCTTCGTACGGAACTCGAGTGTAAATCTCGAAATGTTCCACGCCCTTACATATTCAAGAGTTGAAATGTTTTAAAACCGCTTCACCAAAATCACTGTCGTCAATTTAGAGCTTCTCCTTACCAGAAAGAGACGAACATGTTCGTGGATATCGGCTACCCAATACTTGGATAATATACCCAAACATGGAAAACGGAAGAGAGGGGGTAATCGTGGGGGAGACGGCTGTGAGCCTACTTTGCCATTTGCCGCCTCTCTCCCGCCCGACCGCATCTGCTGCTGTAGGGGGGAGGTGGTGAAATGGAGAGAGGATTGAAATGATAACGGTGGCAGAGAGGATCTCGCAGCACCAACGTCATATCTCTCTCTCTTTCTCTCTCGCTCTCTATCTCGATAGATCTAGATCTGATATCTCTCTATCTCTCTCTCTCTCTCTCTCTCTCTCCTCTCTCTCTCTCTCTCTCTCTCTCTCTCTTTCTCTCTCTCTCTCTCTCTCTCTCTCTCTCTCTCTCTCTCTCTCTCTCTCTCTCTCTCTCTCTCTCTCTCTCTCTCTCTCTCTCTCTCTCTCCTCCCCACTGCTTCCGCTGCACTAGTTATTGCTGTGGGCAGTTTAGAGGGTGTGAATAGCGGCCCGTTCCCCAAGACTGGAACGAACGACAGGAGTCCCTCAAATTGACACGGCAACCATCGGGACACCATGACTCGCACTACTCCTTCGCGGAAATGACGACAGCTATAGCAAGTGGTACCTGGTCAGCTGCCGTGGGCAGCACATCGTGGGATCTACACGCTTCATCTGCAACGTACCGCCACTCCCATAGTCACATACATTACAGTCGCCAACAGCCAGCTGCGGAAAAATGCTGAAAGCACAGGATAGCAACACGGACATCACCTTCAACGATGTGCTCTACGTGCCGAACCTGCGCTTCAATCTACCACCCTTGGGGCAATTGTTAGACCGCAGAGTCACATTCACCATTGATCACCTTACACGACATCGAGCCCCACTTTGCTCCTCCCGACAAAGAGCGTAAAAACCTTGGCCGAGAGCGCTCAATTAACGAAGTTTATGTACTCGACTTCGACGTGCCCGACTGCAGCGTTACTTCCGACAAACTCGTCGATCTCATCCCACTGAAGTTCGCATACATGTCGGAGAACTCCTGGAAACACTCAGACGGTCGGCCCTGGATCAGACGCAACCCCTATCCTCGATAGACTAATCTGCACACACCTGGCCTGAACGTGCTCTGCACTAGCTTCTTCACACCTTCCGCAAGCTGCACAAGCATTGCCGAGGGAGGACTCACAAAAAAAAAAAAAAAAACAAACAAACAAACAAAAACCAAAAAAAAAAAAAAATCGAAAGCCTCGCGCCGCCCGAAGAAGGAATGACAGAGACTGAGCTCTCCACCGTGTCATATCACGTGTTCGTGTTCACGCGAATTAGGCATGGACCGAGATGCGCATGAAGGTTCCGCTGCTAAACGCCTGGGCTGGATCCTGGAAAGGGGGGCATCAGGAACAATTGACGAGAGGGCCAACCACTTCCCTACACAACGGAGATTCAATGTGAAGAAAACAAGGAGTGGAAGGAGGAGGAGAATCCGGAGGAACCAAGCGTGAAAGAACAAGAGGAGAAGGCCGCGCGCAAGGAGCGAGGAGTTCTTGAGAAAGAGAGAATTGCGGTTGGATGGGATCCTGAATGGGCACGAGCAACATCCAACGAAGGACGATAGGGTGCTGGAAGCCCGGCTAATACAGGTGGCACATGGGCATCCGCCACAGGCGGCTAGGGAATAGCTGGAGGCAGCAGCGGGTGGGCCGAGGAGGGTAGGGCAATACCGAAGGTAACTGGGACCTCACCCGAGAAGAACTAGAGGAGGCAGAGAGAGAGGTTGAAGATGAACGGACCCCACCAAGGACTATAGTTCCCCTCGGGCGACGTCCGCGAAATCTGCCATCACCTCCCCACTCACCTCACATCCGGAACTCGTCACTGACCTGGATCGACAGGGGCAGCGAGCTGTGAACCCCGCCACGAGGCGCTCTCAGACCGCTCCCCCTCGTCTCGACCCACTCGAACGATTCATCGAAGGTACCACCATTCTACTCCTCACCATTCCCGACTGCAGCGTTCTCGGGCTCGCGATATCGACCCTGCCTGCAGAAGGAGAAGCACAAGCAGAAGCAAAGGCAAAAGAAGAAGTAGGAGAAGAAGAAAAATCACCGGCGCAAGCAATTCCCGACGAGACAGAAGAAGAGGCAAAGGCGCATCTCGCACGATACCTGTGCACCCCTGGAGTTCGCGCAGATGATAACCTCTGGCACCTGCGTCTCAGCCACCCCTCACGCCAAATCTTCAACAACTGCCTCAATACCAAAGTCTTCCTCCCTGGTGCCCTAATGCACCCCAACGGCTCAGAACCATGGAGCACATCACAGCCGCAAACCTGCACCGTCTGCCCCACAATTGCTCACTCATACCAAGCCTACCCCTCGCTCGAGCCATGCACCAACCGCTACAAAAAGCTGGACAAGGTCTACAGTGACTTCCTCGTCATCGGCTATGGCGCGATCAACGGCGAAAGCTATACCCATACCTTCGTGGAAGCAAACTCGCGTTACGTCTGGGAGGCAAACGTTGACACTCGCGCAAAGGCACCAAAAATCTCCCGGGTCCTGTTGGCTCATGCGCAGCGACAATCGGGAAAGAAGCTAAAGGTGTGGCAGGCAGACAGCATAGCAGAATTTTGCTGCAACAAGCTGTCGAGCTTTCTTATGCAAAAAGGGATCCTGCACCACATCTCCCTCCCCTACACTCATCAGCAGCAAGGAATAGCCAAGCGCATCAACTGCACTCTCATGACAAAAGTGCGCGTGCTCCTGAAGCAGTCTGGCCTCCTCATCAATTACTGGCCCTATGCCATGCACCACGCCGCACGACTGCACAACCTCCTGTCCACCTCCACCATCAGAGGAAACCTCTCACCTCACGTAAAGGGGACCGGGACCAAACGCAACACATCCATGCTGAGGTTCTGGGGCTGCATGGTGGAATACAGACCAACTTTTGCCACCATTGGCAAGTTTACCGATCGCGTGCGCTGGGGGGTTCATATGGGAATCAGCTATGAATACAACGGCTGGCTGATCCTAGACCTGGACACCAACAAGATCGCACGGCACGAGACGTTCTCTTCTACGAGCGCCTCACCATCGCAAGCTTCCTTAAGACAAGTGAGCAGGAGCGACACGGGGCTACGCCAACAACAGCAGGAGCTTCGTCTCTCTAGAAGATGAGGCCGCAGCCGCGGCTCTCGACCGCGACCCCACCAATGAACACCCCAGCGCTCCCCCTCACCCGTGCGACGACGATGATGACGAGGATTACGACAACGCGCCCGGACCCTCACGACGCCGAGACCCCGCAAGGAGTAGTTAGCTGACATGATGACCAAAACGCTGGTGGGAGTGTTGCAAGTTGGCTGGGATGGATCCAAACCGAGAGAACCAGCCTTTAAGGCTAGCAATCCGAGGAGGGTTTTTTTGGTGCAACCCCATGGTTTGCATTCCGCTTGTTGTTCTTGTACGTGCATGTGTAAACGATAATTTTTTTTGTCCAGCATGTCCCGAAACACCCCGTTCATGGTGAGCTGGAACGTCGACGGTGCGTTCGTCAACCCGAACGGCATCACTACTCGTAGCTACCGTAGCGGGTGCGAAAAGCGGTCTTCGGGCAGTCGTCGGCGAACACGCGAATTTGATGGTAGCCATTTCGCAAATCGATTTTCGAGAAGAAGCGAGCCCCGCGAAGCTGATCCAGCAGGTCGTCCGCTCGCGGAATCGGGTAACGCGACTTGATGGTGATCCGATTCAGCGCTCGATAGTCGATGCACATGCGCAGGCCTCCGTCTTTCTTCGGCGTGAACAGTATCGGGGCGGCGAATGGTGACGTGCTCGGCCGGATAAAACCCTTCGAAAGCAGATAATCCAGTTGTTTCCGCAATTCGTTGAGCTCCGGTTGGCTGAGCCGCCACTGGGTCTGGACAGTTGGTTGCGCGCCAGGCTCCAGCTCGATCTTGTGGTCTTCTGGTCGTTGGGGTGGTCATCCGCGAAAATTTCAAGATACCTCCGAATTATGCTCGCCACGTCCTCTAATACAGCATCGCAGAGCGTGTCAATGTTGGCGATTTTATCGGATGCACTCGTACAGCTATACGGCGTAGCCGCTCCCCTTTTTATC